AGCTCTAATATCAGTGTATTATATATAATTAAAAAAAAAACATGCAAAGTAAGGGTACTAGTAGATACATGAATAAACATGTATTATGATATGTATAAAACTTGGTGTAAACACAATGTATGTTTGTTTGTATAAGCTTTATTATACTTTCACATTTAATATAGATATCAAGTTATAAAGAAAATGACAAGGTACACGGACGGAATCCCTTCAAGGGATTTATTCCAGTCAATATGTACTTTAATACATGTGTAATATATCTACGATGAACGTTCGGTAGAAACACGGTATTACCATATGAATAAATATTTTTTTATGGTATAACACCGTGATAAAATAACACATCAACTCGTATGCAATATGGGTATTTTTTTTTAATGGATGATAATGGCATGATAACCTCGCCTGCAATAATGGTATACGCTGACGGGGTACCAGTGAGAGATATTAGGTGAGAATGAAAAGGCTAATCAGTTAGTACATCGTGATGAATACGCCTGGAATTCAGCAAGATGGTTTCCAGCGGTGACCACGTGGCGGTCGACCTGACAGGGTATGTTGCTACCAGTGGCTAATGTACCAAAAGCATATGAGTATATTTGCATAGTAGAATATTAAATAGCCACACTATACCTACATCCTACATTTACATTACTAGGTGTTTGAATACGAGATGAGTTTGCTTTCACTTAGTAACTTTCAAGTGAAGTCAAACACAAGCGTCGAATTGATTAATTAAATATTTTATTATAATCTTGTTTGTTATGATACAACTCAATGAATACCTATCAAATTATCGGACTTGTAACTTTCGATTTGAAATATACGATTTATTATCCGACTTCAAGGAAGAAGAAATTATCCTTTTTGAAATTTGGAAGAGTATATCTTCAATACAGATGTCAAAGATACTTACAGGCATAAGTATTTTTTCTTTTTAATTTATCACTCGACATTTTATCAATTCTGAACCAATTTTATAAATGTTTGTGCATTTGATATGTAGTTTTACTTCCATTATTCATATTAAAACTTTCTCACCATTGATATACCTAATTTTTTTTTAATCAATGAGCTAAAATCGTAATGTACATTATTAATATTAATAGCTACATTTTACATTATATTCCATATAATATGAAGTTTTATATATGTATGTTTGCGCTTGAAGTTGAGAAGCTCTTGAAGAAATAAAATGCTTGTCCGTGCCTCAAGTTTTATAATAAATTAAAATAAATACAAAGGTGCGTGTAGTCTTATCCGTTAACAAAATTTGAATGTTTGACCTTCTAACGGTTGAACGGTCTATGTCTATGGTTCTAATGTTGCAAGTGCGAAAAATTTTACTTTTTATTAAAACTCCTATAGTGCCTGATCTTGAACAATGTATACAATTTATTATGAAAGTAAGTACGATAAATAATGTACGACGTAATTCCAAATATTATTCTATTTATTTGTAATATCTTCAAAGGTAGAATATCTGAATTAAATAGATAGATACAAGTATGATTATCTACTTAAGAAAGGTCGGCTCAATTAATCCTAGGCTGGAATTTAAATTAACCTGTACAAGGGGGCCCTTTAATTAGTGGACCAAAAGGTACAACAATCTATTTACACAAGTCGGCCTTTAATGATTTTCTGGAATGCTCACTTCCCTGTGATTAATTAATAATGTCTATTAATCCCACTTTATTTAATCTCTTGCGATTATCTCTATTTAAGTTTTATTATAATTGGTTATATTGGCTGTTGCTGACTCTTTTAAAACGATTTTCAAAATAAGGGATTTCTCATCTCAATGTCGTGATATTTTTTTTGGAAATATATTATCATGCCGTGCAGTCCCGGCGTAGAATAGGCCACCCCTTCCTTTCCCGTTGGTGTCGTAACACTCGTCTAAGGTAAGGCGAGAGATAGGCAGCAGCATCCCTCTTAAAACATCTCTAAAGCCTAACTGCGGTTAGTAATCCGTCTGCCATGCGTCGCAACTAGATCCCTTAAGGGGGAGGCTTATGTTCAGCAGTGGACAGTTAAAAGCTGATATGACGATGATTGGGAATAGATAGATAGATATATACTCTTTATTCTTTCCTCCGTAAGATTATAATAGTAAACTTATATAAATAAAAACAATTACATGAAAATATTACACTAAGAAAACAATGGACGGCATTAACTTAATATATAGTAATATATAATATATTATTACTATATATCAAGACTACGTCGCCAATTTTGAATCTACTTTCACAATTATTTTTACAATCTAAAATAATTTTTGAATGGTTGAAGCAGATATTTTTCTTTAACGGAACAGACAGTTGTTGTTGCGAAGCAAAAGGCAAAGCTTTTCATGTTCACATTTGAAATTGCTTTTATTAGCTTTTTTGTTTGTTTTTTTTTTTATTTAACTATATCCTGCGGCTCCGCCCACGTGAATCCATACGTAAAGTATCCTATGTGCTAAGTTAGGATATAATCTACTCATGTACCAATTTTAATAAAATCCGTTTAGTAGTTTTTGAGAGTAACAAATATGCATCGGAGGGGAAGCGATTCTTAGCAATGTCCTCAATGACTTCCACGTGGTCCCTGGAAACCACCCTGACGAATATATTCATCAATAGTGTATTCATTACGATGGGCTAACTGACCTACCTTTTCATTCTTACTTATCATCCCTCACTGGTGCCCCGCCCTCCATCCATCCATTCATCGTTACAAACTCTTGCATTTATTACATTAATAGAATTTGAAGCAACTTATATATACTTAAATAAAAAGTAATGAAATATTTTTTGTTTAAGTATCATGATAATAAATAATTATAAAATCAATGAAAATATAAATTAGTGTTTTATATACATTACAAGAATAATTCATTACAAAATTTAGTATAATAACAATTTAAATATTTTATTATATTTAAAGTAATTACTCTGATGTTTATTAATAAATGTAGGTACACATTTTAACACAAGATGTTAAAAAAAATAATATAATTTAAAATAAATATCTAACATGTTCATAAAGCCCCCTATAATATTTTTTTTTTTTTATATATCTTCCATATACAGGCAGTGATCAGTTACGATTTTATTATATGTATTGATATAGAGCGTCTCGCCTCGCACTGCGACGCAAAGCGCCAAACGAAATGAGAAAATAAGTATTTTTTTTTTATATTTGTTACTTAATCACGCTAAAACGACTGAACGGGTTTGAATAAAATTCCTTGCTTAACATATTAATTTACGAAGTTCAAAGCCGCGAGAAATTACTGTTTATTTATATTTTGTTGGAACTTTTTAAATTTTGTAAGAAGTAAGAAAAAATTGTAGTTCTTATCGATTTTTTGGCAAAATATTTGGTCTCTGATCTTACGACACCCACGGGAGAGGAAGGGGTGGCCCATTCTATGCCGGTCTCTGAATACGCTAGCTAAATAAACAGATACACGACACGAATGAGAAAACACCAATGTTCTCATAGAGATAGGTATGAACAGAGCATAATATCATTTCTTGAATGGGAATTCGATATCGTAAGCTCGTCTATCAGAGCAATTGTTAATTGTTTAGGCACGTCTATAATATATATATATATTACAGCTAAACAACCGCAGATATACAGGGTAAAATTATAATCTTCAGCATGCTTCACCATGCTTCAATGTTCTATCAATGAAACGGAGTATTGTTTTTAAATATATATGAACTTAACAAGTTGTTCGGCAAATAATCGCAGATTTGGTACAACAAAAAAAAATATTAAAAACCCGACCACTGATCCGATTTTGATAAAATTTCTATGTTTTATTGTTTAATATTTGTAAGTATATAATACCATATATAGTGGGGAAATGGATTATTAGTGCTAGGGTTTAATAACCACATTGCTACCAATATACACTATTAGGCTGATCATCACGCGATTCCCCCTGGAAAACATAGTGATTAATTCTTGAAGAATTCGTCACGATGGCCTAACTGACCTGGACCTCCAGACAAGTGGCAAGCAAATTCGTCGCTGGAATCGACATCGCTAGTGAGTCCGAGAGTTATGTTCAATCATGATAAAACATATTAATGTACCTACCAAGATATTTATATCATTTCCAAATTGATTTTGCTAGACCAATGCACCGCCATTTTCTCTATTTAGCGTAACGGCTGACTGACGGACACGGACGGAGCAGAAATATAAATTCTTTATTTAAATAAATAAAGAATTATCCAAATCATTTTATAGATAATGGAGTTATGAGGTAGCAATAGAGAATATAAAAAATAAAACCGAATTGAGAACTTCCATTTTTTAAGTCAGTTCAAAAAGAAACTAACTGAATGAATGCAATAATAAATAACGAGACATTTCGTAATATCCTACAACGATAGGTTTTATAGTAGCTTTGCATCTACAAAGAAAAACAGCAGTTTCAATCATTACAAAATTGTAGTGCTACAAATACGAAAGAAAAAAAATCGGACGGATTGAGAACAAATTTAATATACTTCCAAAGTCGCTTAAAAACAATAAAAGAAATTTAACCTCCCGTTTAGGAAAAGGTCGAGGTTTAATTTTTTTTTGCCTTGTTTTTCTTAATATTATGTAGGTAGATATCTATATATAGCTAGACCAGTTTCAAGAAAGGCAAAGTGCTTACGGGTGAGTTGTTTTAGATATTGTAGGCTAGTGGTGAATTCCCAGTATTAAAATAATTAGGTTTACTTCATTTGAAATAACCTTTTATGTACGTATAAAAATAAATAAGAAATCCTTACCTAATTTATTAAAATATCTGTTATTCTAGGTATCATTTTAATATAATTGTACCCGTGTATTGAATTTATCAAAACAAATATGTAAATGAAATAAAATTAAATTGTAAATGATTTAACATGTAGTTACCTACTGTGTACCTAGGTATACATTTTTATTGCAAGTAAGTATATGATTGGCAATAAATTAATTTGTTTAAACTAAACTAACAGTGAAGTGAGTGAAACTAAAAAAAAACAATAAAATATGGGTAAAATGCAAGTTGCCATATACATAAAACGCATTAAGAAACAAAAATCGCACGAGTTCTTAAATTGAATTTTAAAAAATTAAAAAAAATGTGGAATCCGAATACAGTGGACAATAGGCAGCTTGAGAAGCGAGTGGTAGTCGGAAGGGTACGGCCAACTTGGGCACGAAATCTCCCTGAAGCGAGGGAGGATGAAGACAAGAGCGACCAAGAGGTCGGGGTAATGCCCCACAGCGAACCACCGTCACCAACCGAACCTTGGGAGCAGCAAGCTAAACACGAAGATAAATACGATGTCTTTGGCAAGGTAAGATTATCTGTTATTTTTTAGAAAAAAAAAAAATATTGGTAAAATTTTAGTATTTTAGTTATTTTATTATAAAGAATAAAATATTCGGATATGATTTTATCACAGATTCAAATCAAGATAGATGGTATAAGTACCAAGGGTATATACTTACTTGCTTTGACATTATAAATGTTTTTTTTTTAACATAAAGCTGACAAACAAGCATAAAGGCCATCTGATATTAAACGGTCACTGTAGTCTATGGATGTATGCAACATTAGGGTTGTCACGTGCGCTGTCACTGAAGAAACCTTAACATACATTTTTATTGCAAGCAAACCCAATTGCGTAGTTTCTAATACTTATTCTCTTTTTTAACTTAATAGTATTAAATCTAAAACATCCTCGTCATCCTCTTAAGCTGTTATTTTACTAGTGAAACTAAATATTTTCCTTAAGGAAACATGAGACAAAAAACGGCAAAACTCTTAGCTTTCCACAAAAACACGGCGGATGCGACTACCAAGTTTTCTAGGAAATAATATAATAATAGTATTTTATTTTTTTATATTAACTTCGTTTGAGAAATTTGTTCAGTTTCATAGATTACACTTTTCAAAATAAACGCTAGTGGTCTCCATTTCAACCTGTATATCATATATAAATTCCGTGCATTGAAATTTAACTGGAATCTAAGTTGACTCTTTGGAGTTTACTTAGAAAAAATATTGGTACACATACATATCGACATCTATTTAATTCAAGTCTGTGGTTTCAATTACATACATTATAAGTACATATATTCTTAGATAAAGTTGTAGGCAGAATTATGTAGTAGGTCCAACATTAAATACCCATTTAATTTCCTAGGTGATGCTGCTCGGCGACAGCGGTGTTGGGAAGACGTGCATGCTAGTCCGTTTCCGGGACGGCACATTTCTATCAGGAAACTACATATCCACCGTCGGCATCGACTTCCGGGTACAACTACTCCAGCACATCAATTCAATCACATTATGAATCAATGGGGTCGATTCTTAGATGTCATTTCTCCAAACCTTTCTCTAAAATTAAAATTTCAATTTGATATTATAAAGAAATCTTTATTCCAAAGACCGATATGAACTGAATTTTTTTCTGGATATTAGTGGCGGAAAAAAGCTCATCACCCATTTTGATATTGCCCATCTCTATATTTCTATTTTTGGCATATTTTCGGTCGGATATCTATTTTCAAATATGTAAAATAAATAAAAAGTCTGTGATCTAGTATTATTTTTTGGTAACAGACTTTTTAATATATTCGTTATTGGACCAGTATACCTACAGATATTGCAACTAAAATATATAGATACTGCTGTATATTATCTACTCCTACATTTAAGTCAAAATTATTACAATTTTAATTAACGATGGTCTAAAATAGGGATACTCGATGTACATCGATGTATCGAAATCACTCGATATTTCAATGTAATACATCGAATCGATTCGATGTTTTGAATAGCTATTGATATATTAAATGTATTGATGTATTTTCATAAAACATCATATTGATGATAACTAGTTAATTTCATTAAATCTCAGTTTGATCAGAGATCATACTGAGATGACTTAGAAACCATTACCATAAAACTTTTTCTTTAAGTATTTTTATTTATTTTAAATTTTTTTATTTATTTTTATATATTTTCAGTAGTAGAATTTTTATATTTGAAACCCGACTTGTTTAAACTTAGATGAATGTAGCCGGAATCTTATTTTTGTGTTTATTATAGTTATTGAACGCGGCACGTTCTGGTTGAATTGTCAGCTGCTTAATTCGGATTTAGAAATTGATGTTGGCTACACTGCGCGGCAAATACAATACGAGTACCTAATAAAAAATATCTACTGCTGTTTTTGTTATCTCGGTGAGCTTTAAATGGGAAGATCACCACAAATAAGTTTAGGGAAATGGCTCCTCAGAATCGACCTCAATGCCAAATAAATATAAATAATATAGAATACCTAAATAAATGAAAACGAATATGTTATTAAAATGTAAAATCCATATCGTAACTACCTGTGCCTATTATTAGTCCTCATGAAAAAAAAAAAACAAAATATTAAAATGACCGTCAAGGGTTCCAAGTTCAAATGGGCCAGTCACATGTTGTACTCGGCCGGTTCACTGGCACGCCATTGGTGTTTGAAGTTTGGCGCGCTTTTTCTGTACCCGCCCCTCGCTTGTGACAGCTGTGATTGAATCGGCGCAGCTCAGTTGAGTGATTTATAGTTGTAATGGGTCCCAATTTTTTGTTTGACCAGTTTTTGCAATTTGATTTATACCATCTGTCCCTAGCGGTTATTTGCTGTTTCTGACGCCGTCATGGTGCCTATTATTTGATGTTAGGTACTATTTAAGAATAATACCAATGTGCTAGTATTATTAGAAGTTTTATATAATGTAATATTTGTCATACGAAAATATTACGTCAGTAATTAGGTAAAAAAGCTAGGGGAAAGGGATTGTTAATAATGGAGACTTACAGCCCCATTGCTAACAATATACCCTATCAGTTCAACCTTTACACAATTCGCCCTGGAACCCATCAAAATTCTTGTGGAATTAGTCACCATGCGCTAATTGATCTGTTTTCATTCTCACCCATTATCTCACACTAGTACCCCGCTAGCGTGTACTGATAGATCAGGCGAGGTTGTCGTTCCATTTTCACCTATTAAAAATAGTAAGAAAGCTTACTCTTTCATTCTTGTTTTAATATCTGTTTTAAATGAATGTAAAGCTATATATGCGTGTGTAGCTTTGCATAAACATTGGATAAATATTGAGGCAGCTTGGCCTGATAATCGTTTCGGACACTAAAGTATTACAAATAGCGATACGCGAATCCGAATGATTTGTTATTCGAATAATTAGTAATTACTAATTTTATAATTCGACTACTAAATTAGTAATATATTAATTTCTTTATTTGGATTATTTTTACTAAATAGTAATTAATTACAAAGTCTTTACCCTGTATTTGCTACTACCAAGTTCATTTTAGTCTGCATCCTTACCTTGTCAATGAAACCGATGACGGAAAAAAAGACAACAAATACATCCATTTCATATTATATGTTTGATAATTTTCTAATTATTTACCTATGACTACACTTTTACTTTTATCAAAAATTGGTAATTTTTATTACGTTTATAATGGCAACACTCTTGCTCATTAGCAAAAAAAAAACATTACGACGATCGGGTCGACTCGGTTATGTACGTGTCGACTCCGTACATGAACGACTACTAAAGAATGAAATTAGTAATCGAATTATATTAGCAGTAAGTTGACGTTAGTAGTTGCATGAATAAAATTTTTAATCAAATTATTTGAAAATAATTCGAATTAGCCGAATGGTTTGCTCAGTCGTATAATTAGTAGTCGAATTAATAAAGTCGTGCATCAATAATTACAAAGTTATGGGCCCAAACTACAAGCCTTCTCCACGGCTTGACACCTGGCGTCTTAGCACTCTGCCTTTTCTTCGCCTTAAATTCCCGAGACACTATCATCACAGTAAACAAATTATCAACATCACACTACTGGACACGAGTCTTTCCTCATAAGAGGGGAAAGGGATTGTTAATAATGGGGCTCTTACAGCGCCATTACAAGCAATATATTCTGTCAGGTCGACCTCCCCATGGTCCTCTCTCGAAACCATCGTGTCGAATGCAAAGTGTATTCACCACGATGACCTAACTGACATGTTTTCATTGTCCCCTATCATCCCTGACTGGTGCCCCGCCAGTATATACCGTTAGCGCAGGCGGGGTTTCCATTCTATTATCATCCATTAAAATAGTATTTTCTCATAAGACAAGGATACTAACTATTAGTACACGGATTAGGTTTTTATTAACAGATTAAATTTGAATGGTAATCGCGCCTTTATTATTGGTATATAACATTTATTATCTGTGATAAATGAAGTCGGGTCAAATTCTTGAAAACTACGATTATGATAGAAATTATGTAGAACGTTTACCAGTAATTTGGGGTACAGCCATAAGTACCTTATAATTACATTCTAATTATGTATCTACAGTAATTAAAATACGTCTATTAGTACCCTATTAAATATCTGATAGATAGGGTCCCTTTGAATCTTTAATTTCTTATAAATGAGTCGAGTTTAGTCATATCTAAGTATTTAAATATTAAAATATTTAGATACGCCCTCATTAATTATTATTGTAAAATAAATATGATATTATCGTAATTGTCGTAATTTATGTACTGTTTGCTGAGTAACTGTACTGTTGTGTGTTACTGTTAAACAACTTTTGTACAACTAGCGCCCTCTATCTGTTCACAGAATAAGGTAGTGACAGTTGATGGCATCAAAGTGAAACTTCAAATTTGGGATACCGCGGGGCAAGAGCGCTTTCGTAGCGTCACGCACGCGTACTATAGAGATGCACATGGTAAGTTGTAGAAATAATATTTATTTAGAAGAAATTAAGTAAGTAATGATCGCATTTATGTTGTATGATTAATTTATTTTACAAAACATTAATATTAAGTACCGTTGTCAATAAATGAGTATAGATAATTTTATTCTCTGGTCAAACTACTAACGCCATCTATGTAACGTCCAGTTCATTTGTGAGTACACGAGTATGATTTCCAAAAATAGAGTAACTTTTTTTTTATCTTCAGTAATAACCAACCAAATGCAGACAATAATATAAAACGTTATGTAAATGTATGGTAATACCTACCTATGTAATAACTAATTAACATTCCTTTCTACGTAATAGTGTTGTTATGTTTATTACATTGAAACACACAATATCAGCTTGTCATAGATAACGCTCAATTCTCGACCTCGACTTTTAGCTCTGCATAAAACCGGATCGAGCACATGTGTTGGAACTCGATTTGACCACAATGAGCTCATGTCCGGTCTCAACCTTTAATATTCTCTTATTCCTGTTTACTGATAAAAAAATATCAACGTAACCTTTTGTATAATGCATTTTGAAATAAGAATACTTAATTAAATTATGTATATTTGGAAGAATTTTTCTATGCGTTTGAAAAAAAATCATGTATATATTACGTTATATCTTCGTTAATTATAAACATTACATGATAATTAAATCTTGATTACCATATTTGATAGAGTACTTGATTACTATACCATAGTTGAAAGAGGTCTTTTTCCTTCGTTCATTCCCTTATTGAAATATTAAGGCTTAACACTTTTGAAAATTTCACGTTTATTTTTGAATTGCATTATTATATCATAGTAGCTTTGACCTTCGACTTTGTCCGCATGGAGATCGGTATTTATTCCCTATTTCACCCCTTTAAGGGTGAATTCTTTTTTTTTATGGATGGATAACCCTATAATCCCGGGGGGAAAGGGATTGTTAGTAAATGAGACTGAGAATCCCATTGCTAGCAATATACCCAACCAGGTCGACCTCCTCGCGGTTCCCCCTGGAAACTATCATGGTTCTTACCCTTCACTGGTGCTCCGCTAGCGTATCCCATTAGCGCAGGCGGGGTTACCATACCATATTCACCCACCAAAAAAAAAAAAAGAAAACCCTATAATCCCGCCTGCGCTATCGGTATACACTGGCGGGGTACCAGTGAGAGATGATCGGTGAGGATGAAAATACAGGCCAGTTAGCCCATCATGACGAAGTCAACCATAAATTAGTCACGATGGTTTCCAGGGGGACCGCGTGGAGGTCGACCTGACAGGATATATTAATAACAATGGGGATTAATCTCCCAATTGATAAAAATCCCTTTCCACCACCATTCCATTATCACCCATTAAAAAAAGAACCCTTTTATATACCTATAAAGATACAGTTGAAGCCTTTAGACACCTGAAACATCATGAGTAACATGTGCTCATTGCCAATGTTGGTAAAACTTCATTATATCCTTTTTATAACCTCACTCTTGACCCTGGTTAATACTATAATACATAAAAAAAACCACGTGGTACACAAGACATTCTTGGATAGTATTTACATGTATATTATCTGTGCCTTATCATTTTCATTGTATCAGCTTTGCTTCTGCTGTACGACGTGACGAACAAGACCAGTTTCGACAATATCCGTGCCTGGCTCGGCGAGATACGGGAGTATGCGCAGGACGATGTCGTTATCATGCTATTAGGTAATTACTTGATAAATATTTGCAGTAGGCAATTTACGAAGTAGCCCGAAAAGTCACCAAGCAACTCTGTATGCTCATCTGATTGTGGTTTGTTACAATGATAGAGTAAAATTATAAAACTATTATAAAAATAAATTACTCTGAATGAGAGTTCTGGCAACATATATTGGTACTAATAAAATATTATCTTCTAAAATCCCAAAAAAGTTTTCAAGTTCCGAAATGGAAAATACAAGTTTCATTATTCTTCAATTATTATATTTTACATCTATCGTGCTATCAATTCTCATATAAGATCTTTGCCACAACAACCTTGGTTATTATTCATAATGATAATACTCTCATGATTCGCTAATTCTAGAATTTTCTTCATCAACTTTACCCTGCCATGATGAGTAATTGCCAATTATCATACAAATGTTATTTGAATGGCCACAACGTAGCGAACAATAACAACTGTCTTCTTGGCTTGATTAAAAATGAAATAAAAATTAAAACCGCCCATTCGAGCCATACTAAACAACCTTCACTTTCCCCAAGTCTCAGGTATCAGGCCGTAACCGTATTCTTCGTGTTCCAGGTAACAAATCCGATAGCGGCCTAGAAAGAGCGGTGCGGCGGGAGGAGGGGCAGCGTTTGGCAAGAGAATACCAAGTCGCCTTTATGGAGACATCAGCGAAAACCGGATTGAATGTAGAAGCGGCGTTCGCTCACGTGGCGCGCTCTCTAGTCGCGAAAGCGAACCCAGTCGACCCTTCGAGGCTAGCGGTGCGCGCGCAGCCGACCCAGGAACCGAAGTCATCATGTCCGCCATGCTTATAAATTTGCGCGGTAAAATCAAATTTGGAATGATATTGCAAATGGAGGACCAGTCAAAGGACATTTTGTATATATTAGGCTGTATGCATAATGCTATGCATACGACAGGGCTATTATGTGTCTTGAATTATAAGCCTTTTATTGGACGTGTTTGATATGATGATGAGTATTTGAATAATATTTTTTTTAAACAATGTTTACCAACATACCTGTATGAAATGCCAACGTAATAAAAATCCATTAAAATCCTACAGCTGTGCATAAAAGAGAAATAAACACAAGATTTAAGTGTAATATGTTCACTATATGTAGGTATACAGTGAAATTGAAGTCATAGGTAACTTATTTATAAAACTTTCTTGTACGGAGTAAAGGTACATATAGCGTTCTATACCGGTCAACCATAGACCAGAAATGGTTGGTGGCAGTAGATGAATCGATATAATTGAAAACATTTTTACATAAATAATATACAAGATTATATGTTGAAATAAATACATAAAGCACAATAAAGAATTTTGTCTATAGTTCAAATAAGAAGGAAGAAGAGAGCCAAATAAAGAATAAATAAGTAAAGAATTAGGTTTGAAGAGAATTAAGATAATGGGTAATGTAGTTTTGTTAATTTTTGTGTAATTAAATGACAGTTTTACACAACGTACACAAGTAACACAAGTACAATGGGCTCTGGCTTACCTATGTGACGTGTTGATAACAAAATCTTTCCAAAACTAATATTACATAGATTCTAGGAAAATTTCCTGATACTGTAAAGCGCATAATAGCTGCTTTGTAATTAATTAATTTTCAAAATTTTACTCTGTACCTAATAAAATATCTCATAATACGACTACCTACATTAATTTCACTCTATACCTGACCTACATATCTTTCTTATCTTAAAAGCATTAAATATTTATCTAATTTAGATGCCGATGTAAGCATGTACTTTAGACCTACCCTACAAAAAAAAAATTGTAAAAATTAATACATACGTTCAGGGCCGGGTTATACATTAGGCAGTTTAACCTGCCTGATAGACCTCATTTAGATATGGGCCCCGCACATTGACAATTTTTTTTTTTGAGATAGTTTCTTTCAGAGAAAATTATATTCGAATTTTTGTATCTAACTAACTAGCTTTTGTTCGTAAGCAAGACGTGTATGACTTAGGGACCCCGACATGGTTAATCCGGTCCTGTACACGTTTCATATGCTTAGTTGTTGTATATTACCTAATTAAGAAGCTTGTAAAAATGTACCTATATACTTTGTTCGACGTTTAAATCAACGTTAGATATTGTTACTACAATTAATTATGTATAATTAGACATGTATTAAAGAACATTTAGAATAGGAGATATATACCTATTATATGAACAAGTATGAAGGTGTATTACTTTGGGAAATACATTCTTTCTTTGTCTACCACGCTAAGTAAATAAATTGGTTTTATTATGCAGAGTACAAAGAAAATTACTAGCATTCCTGTAAATCAGTGTTCTGAGAGTGAAACATGACATTGCAAAGGCACATGAGTCGGAAAATAAAAGAACTTTTTGGACCCCACTTACCTACTTCACAATTGGTCACACGTCATGATAATATTGAGGGCGGAAAGTATTTTGACATCTTTCGACCTATGACGAATTTGCCAATATGCTGAGTAGGTTGGATTCTACGGTGACAGATTTTAGAGACGACAAATTTGACGACAATTTTTTTTATAATCATGCAAAATTTACCTAGAAACTACAGCATGGGGTTCTTCAAAAAGGGCGTATTATGTTTTCTTAAGAGTTGGTAATACGCACTTGACATCCTTGGCGTTAAAGGCGTCCATAGGCTATGGTAAACTTGTTTACCATCAGACGGACTGTACGCTTGATTGCCACCATACTTGTAAAAAAATATAAGTTATAATTTATAGTAAAACCAAAATAGTAATTAATATAATTGTGAACTAGGGTTAGAGGTCGGTACAGGCAACAGAGTTTAAATAGCCTACTGAAGGGCAAATGTATAAATCCGTCACTGCGATCTGTGTTTGTTTGGGAAAAATATACAGTTTCACATATAGTTTACATATTGACATAAGGGGTTGCTTTTTATTGTTAGGGAGGCGAACGAATAGATGGTTTACTTCGCAGAGTATAAATATTGAGACCAAAAGAAAAACTAAAAAGTCTAGGTAAGAATTAAATAGAGGCATTTGTAGACGCTTGGGGCTTGGGAAGAAGTAACGTGTAAACCTAGCATAAATGTAATCAATAAAGATATTGGGCGAAAACTCATAATCATTTCAAAATAAATAAAATACAAAATGGTATCCAAAACTGGAAGTGCATAATATACTTCATGCCGGATCAAAAACTGTTGCTCTATAAATTTCATATCTTTTCCTCAGATAAGTGGCAAACAATGTTATGTCGATGGTACTGCTCATGTGTATAGCGACGGTTATCAGTTTCTATCAGGTGGACTGTCAGCTTGTTTGCCATTCTAAGTTGTATAAAAAAATCTGTCAATAGAATCATTATCGCCAGCGAGCCCATGAGATAAAATAGCGTCGTCCGCTATCTTGTTCTTTCTCATACGAGTGCTAACTGAAACGATCTATAGATTTCTTTGCCACTTTAAAAAAATCTGGTCCCACATAGGACTGGTGTTACCTGGAGTCTGAGTACTCGGGTAAAGTCTTTGTTTGGTTTCTTTGAACGATCCCAAAGTAATCGGGCTGAAGCAAGGAGAGTTTTTGACTAGTTCTGCGTGTTGTACCAATTATAGATACTCAATGGTTAAGTTTCAGGTAAAAAGGTGATCATAATGCCATCCTATTACCTGGGGTTCTGAGAAGTTGTTTCATTTGATGCTCATAGTCAAATTCTGACATTGCATTGAACTGTTTGCTATCGACAAGACGTTCAATTCCATTCGGTTTCAGAGTATGCAGTGGTCCCTTGTGGATGTTCAAGTAATGCAATCTTTCTACAGAGGTTGCCCTAAAAATTATACCATGATTTAAATTTCGTATAATAATGCAAAGATCAACAAGATGAATAAATTTATTTCCTCATAATTGTGCGGCAACTACTACTACTAATGATTGTCTTAATAATAGGTTTTGACCTGCGCAGTGTTTAAAGAGACATTTGAAAATAAAATAGCCTATCGCCTAACCTAGCTATCCATAGGCAACGCATGTTTGTGTATCTCTAAATATTACTGCATATTATAAATGGAAAATACAATAAACATATTCATTTATGATAATTAATAATTCGTTACTTGTGGTTGAATTCGAAGTGTTACTATATTTTGTAATAGAATAAATAAAATAAGTTATTGTTAAGAAACTTATTGCGTTTACTTACCTAATTGATAATTATATTTTGACAAATAATCATTTCAGTTTTACTTATTTAGTTTGGGAACATATCGAATTTAAACCATTAAAATCTGTCAACAATTGGCCAAAATAATAATAAGTACCTAATTAACAAACATACAAAAGGAAGAATTGTCTGATTTGTATATTTTTTCCCTTTTATTCGTCAAATAGTGTTGATTCTGTATTAGGATTCCTCTATTAGACACTACTCGAAATAAAAAAAAAATTAAGAGGTACGTAATTTTATACCATTCATGGCATGAATATTGCTCAAAAAAAAAAAATAGCACCAAATGTACGTTGAATGAAATTAGTCAAAAAATGTATTTTATTTATTGGTTCTTACATAATTAAAATGCACAAATAATATAATATAATCTATGAATGTACCTAAGTATTATAGATCATTTGATATAGATAAATTATATAAAAACAACTGCTATGGAAAACAATAAAACATTGTAATTTTTGTGTACTTATAATTGTTGTGACATTTAATGTTGCTTATGTATAAACTGAATAAAATTGTACTAAAACACAAATTTTGTCATTATTTGGAATTTCGATTCTTCATCCAACCTCCGGAGGAAAATTTCTTATAAAGGGCACTTCTTACCGTCACTTATGTTTTTACCTTAAAGATGTCTACGTGAATATTGATTACTTATATATATTTGATTTGAAAATGTGGTAAATTTAGAGCCTATGAGGACTTGTACTCAGGTAGTATGGTAGTACCATTTTTATTATAATAGTCATAGTTCTGTTTGTATAGGATAGTATTGTATTATACCACTTTCTATCAGGTGGGTCGTCGGCAGCCTTTTTGCTGTATAAAGTGTCATAAATAATAATGAAAGAAAAGAGCAATTACATAAACTCTTTAGCGCCATTGTAATAGATTTCCGAACGGTTACATTGTTTACCTGCATCCTCTCTGTGTGTAGTATTTTAGCAGGAATTATGCAGCACTGATTGACTGTTACGAGTGTACTCCAAGGTACAAAAAATGTGTATAATTTTTCTGTGAATATTCCTACCTATAATCTGCATTACCTATTATATAATATTCCTAATTTAACTAATTGTAAGTTTAATTGTGGTAAAACTAGTTATTTTGACTTGAAAACTAAACTATAGAACGGTTTTTGAAAAAAATAATTCTATGGGATTATTTTAATACGGCATATCCAGAGCCAGTGGACTACAGGTATCTTAAACAGCGGGATATCATTAAGAATCTATGAAATGATGGTATAAGGCAGGGGGAAGCACAAAAGATCCCAATGGGTCGACGTGCAACGGCTTAGCTGACCCCATATACGAAAATAAGATAAGTTAACATGACTTAATATGTAAGTATATCCTTTCATATTAAAAAAAATAATAATTATTGAAATTAGTTTGAAACTGACGGAAATATGAGGTAACAAACTTAAAAAAAGAGCATATGAATTGAGAACACCATTCTTTTTTAATTTGATTGAGAGCCCTAATACATTGTTTCCCTTTATCCTCTTTCTATGTGGTGTTTTTGCTGGAATTTCGCAGCGAGATCGGTTATTATACTCCAAAGCGTAGGAAATATGTATGATTTTTCTGTAGAAATATTTTGTGATGTTTGCTAGTTTAAAAAAATGAAAATGAACTGGTAACTATCGATATATGCTGGCGGCATACTAGTGAATAATAATAAATGAGGAAATCAGGTTAGTTGGCTCATCGTGATGAATTAACCAGAAATTAATGATTATAATAGTTAGGGAGACAACATGGCGGTCAGGCTAATGAGTTTCTTTGCTAGTAATTAGGCGGCCGTACTTCGCAGTTCCTTGTAGTAACTAAGCAAATATAATAAAATGTAATGTGTAAATCTAGGATAATTATACTAAATAAATAATAATATGTACCCGGGAATAACACAGATAACATTTTGTTGTGAATATTCACAAATTAGCCGGAGTTTCCAGGAAGGGCCGTGTGGAAGTCGACCTGTTAGGATATTTTGTTGTCACAATCAGGGGCGCCGCTCCGTGAATGCTCGGGGGCTCCAGCACCCACGAGAGGTAAATAGTGGATGCGGAACATCCATGATGCTAGACATCATAACAACTAAAACAATCTTTATCTCACTATTTGTTGTTTAGGTCGCGTTTGTTTGTCCAGTAACCAGTGCCCGTCTTTCAGTTTTCTTTCTTCTTTTCATAACTAGGTTTATCATCGTTATTTCAAAGATGATGCATTTAGTTATCAAAAGAGCATGAGCACCCACGAGGTTATTTAGAAGCCGACGGCCCTGATCACTATAGTGTAAATAACTTGACTTACTGGTCAATTAGGTACTGGTACCCGCTATGCCCATATACCGATAGAGCAGATGGGGTTACTATCTACCTATCTAGTAGCTACTTAAAAATAACATTTCATTTTTGGTAAAGAGATTATTTTTATTCATTCATAGAGTTTAGGTTCAGAAAATACTCTACTTATCCATGAATGAATAGGATTTTATGATACAAAGTCTGTACGGTTGGCAATACTTTAATTTATACAATCATAGTCGGATTCGTGTTATTAAATATTTTCCTTAGTTTCTACTTTATTGAAAAAATTAAAACAGTTTATGTTTGATATACAGAAAGTTTATACAGTAATAAACTTGCTTTTACTTAATAATATTCTTATATTTCTCTAAAACAAATAAAGACTATGTTAATAATGAGTAAGTTATTTAACGAGTTTTGTATTTTCGCGCTTTTAGGAGCAGCTGTCATATTCTCCGATGTTTAAACTTGCCGCCATGTTTTTTATCATGCTAGAAAGGGAGAGGTTATATTGGTCAGTGTTTGTCAACAATTTATTAATAATGTTTCCGTATAAAATATTTTATAGAGAAATATTTCAAAGTTTTCTTTAGTTTTATCTTATACTTACCCTGTAAGCGTAAATTAATCAATAGCACAGGTGAGGATACCATAACATTTTTATTTATTCAATAAATAAATTTTACTTATCTGTCATACTCAAGCAAGTTGCTTGATATAAAATAAATAAAACTGGGACTAATTTATATTATAAGATATAATGAATTACTCATGATGTTGTCCAAAGTATTCTTCATATGAAAAATGATCTTTTTTTATTTATTTACATAATATTATGACATATTAATAAACATTATCACGAATGTAATAAAATATCATAATTTTAAATTATTTTTTTATTACTTAATTATCTAAATATTTTTAATTTATTTAAAAATTCTTCATAACGGTTTGGGTCTAATATATGAATTAAAATGATATGATGAATAATAGTATAATAAATAGTTCCGAGTAAATAAAATAGTACCTAAATAGTTGGCAATCTCTGAGTATAGTCGTTGTTAAGTTTATTTTGTTGGCCACACTGACGCCATTCTACGCGCACATGCGCAGAACGACAGGTGGTCGGCAACTCGAGCCAGCCGTCACGAACCTATCGACTTCTCGTGCTCATCATCAGGCGCTTTCGTGTTCAAGTGAGAACGATGTGCAGTGCTTTGTGTTGAAGGGCTCGTGGTGACATGGCGTCTTTATTTTAAACTTCATAAATGTGTTAATACGATTGATATAGTGTTCAATTACAATGAGTGTGAATTATGATCGTGTTTGTAGACTGTGCTTGTCATCTCGAGGCGAATTACTGCCGATTTTTCCTACCACCAGTTCGGATGAGTCGGAACCTCCCGTCCTTGCAAACAAAATAAAGGATTGTGTCTCTGTACAGGTATGTAATGCAAAAAATAAGTGATAGTATGCAGTTTTTAGTGAAAGTAGACCCTTGGTATATGTAAGAACTCGTCATCTGCCCCGGATCGTGCAATGACAGGCAGCGCGACGTTTAGGTGGAGATGTCGTAAGATCGTCCACCATTTTGTAATGTTCCACGGTTATCGTTCGGCTCGTGGTCGCGTCGCGTCGCATTCCGCTCAGCCGGCAAGGAATGGCGCGTATCATGAGGGTCGGGTTTAGTTTTATTCCCGGGGGTCTGGCAGGGCGGGGGTCTGCGTATCGTTAGCTTAGTCCCGCGTTGGACATCGGGTGTAGGTATTGATTTATCGGTCGGACGAGACCAGGGGCTTTGCAGCTCGTCCGCCTCGTCCCTCAAGCGGGTCGGGCGTCGGTGTCGGCGTGAGTGCGCTATAGCTGTGTGCGTATATCGAGCGGTAACCCTCGAGGGGCACGCTGGCTGCCACTCGACTCGCTTCTACTTATTCGGTCGAGGAGCCAGCCGCTCCGCTATACCTACGCCTACCTACTTAGTTTCTCCTCGCGTATCTATGTAGGCATGAGGCGCGGTTTCGCCTCGCTCGTTCTGATGAAATGCGCGCTACTCACGTTCCCCTTATGATTGCGTATGACCGTTTTTTTTACAGATAACCGAAAATGACGACCTGCCTACTAATGTCTGCAGGAAATGTATGGACAATGTAAATAACTGGCATATTTTTAAGTCTGTGTGTGAAAGGACACAAAACAAGCTAGAATCTCTATTGAAAAAAGATGGCAACCAACTAGAAGAGGTGGGTTTGTTTTTCTGGATATTTAAGCATGGAACTGTCATTTATGAAATATTGTGTTTATCATTTTCAAACATTATTATGAATTTTCAGGTAAAAATAAAAAGTGAACCAGTATCTGATGAAGCTTATGATGATGGAGTGGTCATTGATGGTTCCTATCCAGAAAATGAGGTATGTGTATCCTAATGTTACACTATTGTGCTATATTATAGGTATTTATATATTTTTTGTTTATTATTGTTTGGGTTATGATAATAAATCAATATTTAGTTCAGTTTGTTACTTCTTTTTGGTGTCAAGGACAAATAGATTTTGTTGACAAGTCAGTGTAGTGTTTTTGATGATGGTAGGTATACACTTACCTACTATCCATTTATCAAGCATTGTGGTAATATATATTAACTTGGTTATTAAAAGAAAAAAAAATTATACTGTGATTGATAAAAAATATTAATGGTATAGAGACACAGAATGTACCTTAGTAATACACTGTAATATAGGTTAGAATAATCCCATTTCAATAGTATGTAAAAAATTATATATTACTAAGAATGTCAGTGATCATGTTAATTTATATAGAAATGTTCTATAGGTATTAAAATTGTTGTCATTCCTTAGTGCTAAATCTTTTACAGAATAGGCAGAGCTAGAGTTTTACTTGACTCTGCTTTTTTTTTTACATTAATAAATATAGAACCAAATTTATTAAACCAGAATTGAAAAGTGATTAGTTGTTTATCTGTTTCTCCTATATGATATGTACAATTTTATATATAGATTGATAAAATAGTGCTTAAAATCAGTAAACTGAAGCGAGTTTTAATAATTTGTTTAAAATTATTTGTTTTTTTTTTATTTCTGTGTAAACTTGTTATTCCAGTTACCATGGGAATATCAGGATATCATAATGATCATACTACATCCATAGGTACATGTATAATCAGACTTAGCCTGTGTTGTTTGTCAGTCTGAAAAACAATATATTAAGTAGACAGTGAGTCATTCTCATATGACTCTGATCCCAATATAACAAAAAATAATTTTTTTATCATTAATATTACAGAATGCAGCCAATTCAGCCAAATTGCAACCAGAAGGCCCACCAATCTTGGCATCATTGGGACTCACGCCAAGGAGTGATAAGGTATAGATTACACATTCAATTCCCTTATCATTTTACACAAGTACTTAGTTATTGCATATAAGTTGATACTTCAGTGATATTTAATACAACACTCCATTTATTTTGTGTTATGTTTTTTTATTTAATATATATATTTGATTTTATGACAACTCTGAAGATTCTTGTGTGAGAATAGTTCAATGGGATTAATTTCATTCACAGACATGTGTCGATCCTCGAATGGATTGGCACCGAGTCCATGCAATACTGGACATGGTTCAAGATGATGAAATTATAGATTCCCTCCAGACCACAGAGGAGTGTGATAATATGCATCAGTCCGATCATGACTCTGATTCTGAAACTGATCTTCAGCCCACAGATGATTGTTACATTGATTTTAAAAATGGATATCTGTGTAAAAATAAACAATTACTTTCAAAGGATCCTAAGTTACCATCTTCACCTGTAGTTAAAATTAGTAATTTGAGAAAGAGAAAGGTTGACAGTAATAGACATTATCCGTGGCCCAAAAATGCATGGCAAATGTTTTTGAGCAATGACATACTTGAAATTATTGTGGCTTCTACCAATGACAACATACAGAGGAATGGAAATGGTTTCTCCTCTTCTACAAATGTTGGTGAAATAAAAACGCTGATTGGAATTCTGTATCTTCATGGTATAATGAGGCCAACTCATCAGAAATCTCGTGATATGTGGCATCGCGACTATGGTGTGCCATGTGTTACAAACTTTATGAAATATGAAAGATTTAAATTTCTCCTTCAGAACATATGTTTTGATAATGAAGATGATGATAGCATACTTCAATTAGATGTAATGAAACGTATGCGTAAAGTGTTTGAGATCTTTGCATTGAACTGTAGGACAGTTTTAGATGTACAAAATGTTGGAGTTATAGATGAGGTCATCATACCAGTATATGGTCCATGTCCTTTTCGTTACAGTATTGTAAAGAAACCTCTGAAAAGTGGTTTAAAATTGGTTATCTTAGTCGATCCATCTACTTTCTATGTTAGCAATTTGGATATTATAACGGATCCTTATTTTGGACCAAAACAGATAGTACAGAAATTGGTGCAGCATTTAGCTGGTACTGGGAAAACATTAATTATGGACAGTTGGTATATGTCCTTAGATTTGATACATGCTCTGAAAAATGAGTATCAATTGTATACCATAGCAGCTATAAATCCAAGGAATGACATTATTCCACCATTATTTATTTCGAAATATAGAAATTCTCAGACATTTTTAACAGGATTCCTGAATACTGATACCGTGATTACGTCATATATGAATTCAGAATCAAAATCAGTGAATATTATAACAAATGATCCGACATTTTATAAGAAGGGACATAATAGAAGTACTACAGTCCTGTCTATGTATAAAAAGAACCAATCTGCAGTGGAAGTAGTTGATGTACTAATGAATTATTATACAACAATGCAACATACTAATGACTGGACTCTGTCATTATTTTTCACGTTACTTAATATAGCTTCAGTAAATGCTCAAGTAATATGGAGTAAACATAATTTTAATAATGTTGTGAAGCGTCGTTTATTCATTAATGAATTAGCTCTTAGTCTTTTGGAAAGTGATCGACCAATGTCACCTGTATTAGAGATCCCTTTGAGAAAAAGATTATCTGTTTTGGATGACGATGGTAGTGGCTCTCGTTATAAGACTAGAAAAAGATGTCGGATTTGTGTTACTACAACAAAAAAAGATAGAAGAACAAAACAGTTCTGCACGAAATGTGGCCAATTTATTTGTAAAGAGCACTCTGTTTTGACTTGTTCTATGTGTGCAACATAAATATGTTTTACTGGAGGAAGACTATGCCAAAGTCATTTTCAAATGTGCCTTTATTCCATTCGTGTTTTTACCATCATGCTGTTGTAGTTGCATGACTGCGTTTTCCATTTATGGGGTGGAATTTGGCAGTGAAATTACAGGGTATATAAAGGTATACATTAATGTTTTGATCACTTTGTTAAAAAATAAGTAGAGTGTTGGATTAAGTTTGAGCTGTAACTGTTTTATTAGTTTTGTTATCAAAAATTTTGTTTCAAATTAATATTAATATATTGGTTTTTAATCGCAGATAAAAGAAAATAGAACTGCCATGTCACGCATATCTTAATTACTCTAAGTTATATTTATTAAGAGTTACATGCTAATCGGTAGTTAATAACTTTTTAAGCTTCACTATAATATACTTGTGAAGTAATTGTTTCAAATTATTTATAATTACCTATATATTAAATACCTATATTAAACATATGTAATTTTTATTATCGAACTTCAAAACTTTAATTACGTATTTCTGAAAATGAGTATTATACATGAGAATTGCCTGACACGGCAGAGGATCAACCCTTCTTTGCATGATTTTTTTATTGGTGAAATAAATCAAGGTGATATTATTCATGTTCAAAATTAAAGGAAAAGTGGTTAAAAAAATAAATTTGACAGCTATAGTTTTTTTTCTGCAATGGACATTAAAAAGGTATCCAGACACGATCAACTTAAAGTGAACTTGTTCTTTTATATAATTTTTGAGCATTCAATGTTATGATGGAAATTTCCACCGTTATGCAAAGAAGGGTTAAGATTAATCTTTAGCAAATATTTAGTGTTAAATATACATTAGAGGAATTCCATTTTTTTTATAAAATTATTTCGCAATAATATGCTGTAGTTATTAATTACCCTTCGTATATAAAAATCTTTCTGAAACTTCATAGAAATCTTGAATGATACATTTTTAATTTTAGTCATATACAGGACTCGATCCCAGCAGTAGGGTTTTAATGCGATGTTATGGTTAATCATCTTTTTTTTTTTATTTTTTTTTTTTAGATTAGATTTTAGAATTTGTATTTTGTCTTCTAAATAGGTATGGGATTGATTTTCCTAATAACATTATGTTATGACAATAAATTAATAATAAAATTATAGAATATACCTAATCTTTTATTAATAGGTATTATTAATAATAATGCCAAAAGTATCCAAACCTGCACTGTTAGACTCTACAATATTTAACATAATAATGCTACAGGACTATCATTATCATAAATAATATGTCTTCACGTATATGTCATATTAAAATTTATCTTCAGTTACAATGCGCCAATAATTTGTTTATTTTTTATTTATTGGAGTAGCAACGACTTATTTTGTTAGTATGACACGTAGGACTAATCCAGCCTGCACGCAGTCTTGCTCATATAATACTTATATTTATTTGTATTATTCTATTATCAATTTCCAGGGCGTGGAGAGTGACAAGGAGGAAGAAGAGGATGAAGAAGAGGTAAATGAATCAGCTCAAGCTCAGTCGTTCTCTAATGTGGCTAATATGCCTGAAGTTTCTATTACCGTAATGCGACCCACAGGAGAGACCTTACACGCTCGTCAAGGTATCCAGCAATTAGCTTCTAAAGAATGTCTTGTTTGTGGCCGTTCTTATAGGTATTCGCATAATGCTAGGCGCCATGAACTCACTGCCCACAGCTTTGATAGGTACACCAATAAAATAACAACCAAAAAGTCTCATACGCATATGCAGCCTAAACTAAGACCCAATCCATTCAACCCAAAAGCGCGATTAATGCCGAGCCATAAGATGCAACTTATGCCTAAACCGGTCCCGAAATTAATGCCACAAAGAATTCAAGTTTCTCCAAAACCGATACTAATTAGAGCATCTAAAGCGCCACAAAATAATCTACCATATCCTCTTCGGATTAAAGCGTTAAAAGATTTACAAATAAAGAAAAAGGAACCTCAAATTTTAAAGACATTACTTACATCTAAACCGGAAGTTTTAGTTTCTGAACCTGAAATTATAAATTCCGGCCCTGAGAGTCCTGAAACTTTAATATCCGAACCAGAAATTTCCTCTTTTCATGTAGAGACTATTTTATCTGAGCCTGATACATATGATCAACCACAAGGTGATGAGGAGGTTGATGGTGAAGAAAATAATCAAACACAAAATTATGATACTGTGGATATGGATTCAGAAAATGAAATTGAAATTGCTCGACAGCAAGAGAATGATGGAGATGAAGATGAAAATAATATTGATCAAGATGTTGACGATAACGAGCATGACGAAAACAAAGCTGATGTTATTCAGTGTGATGAAAAGGATCAAAATGAAGAAATTTCTGAAAAAACTGGAAATATAACAATTGAAAATAATGATGAACTAAAAGTTGAAAATGAAAATAAAGAAGATGGTAATGAAGAAAGAGAAAATGAAGAACAGGAAGTGAATCATGAAGAAAATGAGGAAGAAGACGAGGAAGATCTTCCTCCAATGGAACTAGCACCTGTAGTGGAAATAAATGAGGATATGCAAACCAACTCCTATAATAGCGAGTTGAATGAAGAAGAAGAAGAACTAGATGAAACCGCTGAACTTAATGAAGGCGAAGAGCCAATCAAAGAGCTTGATCCAGATAAACTTTATGTGACAAAAACACAAAGGGATTTTATAACAAAGTATCGAGACATCATAGAGCAGATAAATACTAAACGATGTCTTTGTTGCGATAGAGAACATCCTCGTAGAAAGGCCGTTATACAGCACTTACAGAAAAATGGGCATAAAGTTCCAAAACACACATGTTACAATTGTGTAGTCACGTTTGGACACATAGGTGCTTTACTTAGTCATATGAGGTCTAACACATGCACGGATTTGTGGAAGATAATTTATAACGAAAATGGAATAACAGACGATTTGGTTCTTGAAGATGAGCCTAAGGATAATAAAGTTCAATATAAAGATATCTTCAATGCTAGATCTTATGCATGCAAATTATGTCCGGCTAAGTTCCAACTAAAACAGTTCATTATGAAACATGTTTTGGATGTTCATGAGGATGGACAATCAAGAGTGCCACTCGCATGTGTTCATTGTGGATCTAGATTCAAAGATAAGAGTTTAATTAAAAAACATATTCGTAATGGCGAATGTACAGTTTATATTGCTTGTGATTTATGCACAGAAAAATTTGGTAATATGCAAGATTTCAGTGATCATGCTTTAGCTGTTCATGCAGGAAGCTTCGATCAATCTGATAATCAGAACAAATGTGTCGATGGACGACCAACGGACTGTCCTATCTGTGGAAAGAAGAATAGCAGCTATCCGAATTTGGTCAAACATTTAAAGATTATTCATAATGAAGAAACACCACATTATTGTCAACATTGCGACTCGAAATTCGAACAAGCTGCTGATCTTAACAAACATATTTATATAGAACATTCAGACAGAACGTTAGGCGTACAGACTACTGAACCTGATATGTCTCTTGTAAAAGAGGAAGCTGAAGAGTATCACTATTCGTGTACGGAATGTAATGCTATTTTTGAAACCGTTGATGCTTGGACAGATCATCAGGTTGCAGAACATAACCAAGTCGCTCATCATTGTGATCAGTGTGACAAGAAATTCTTGCGACCGTCTGAACTTGCTGAACACAAGAACACTCATTTGCGTGTGAAATTTTATCCCTGTAGTATATGTACTAATTCATATAGTACACCTCAGAAATTGTCTGAACATGTCCAGCAAATGCATCCTGGAGTTGGTGTGGGAATCACCCCTGGCTTTCCCTCTTTTTGTGAGATTTGTGTAAGATCTTTTAAAAGCCGTCAAGCATACTCTAACCATATGCGTATACATGCAAAAGTGCCTACTACAAATCGAAAACCAGGTGAAGCCAAAGGATTTGCACCACAGATTATTGGAAAACCAATCAGACAATTTTCGGCAGTACAACCCGGTTTTGTTTTCAAGCCAAATTGTAATGTTCCTAACGCTCCTTATTCTTGTGATATTTGTGGCAAAGGATTTATGCATAAGAAAAATATATGGAAACATAAGAAAGTTTTGCATGCTGATCTTCTAAATGACAGAAATGACAGTGAAGAAAATACTATGCAAGCTTCTACTGAAGAGGATGAGTATAATGTCGATGAAAATGGTGCAATTTTATCCACACCACAGTTCAACAGTTTCAATTTTGCTAACTTTACTAATAATGTACAAACAGCAGAGGACCCAATGCCCTTCTCATGTGAACTTTGTTTCAAAAGATTCCCTATTGTAACTAGTTTGTGGAAACATAAACGCGCTAAACATGGAATTATCAATGCCAGTGCCGGAGGTAGCTCTGAAACTCAAACATCAGCTGGCGAGGGTAGCAGTAGATCTAGTTGCACTATATGTAAAATATCATTCTCTGATAAAAAATCATATTACCGACACAGAAAAAATGTTCATAAATCTAGTGTACAAATGTGTAAGATTTGCGGTAAACCTCTGAGTTCAACATTAGAACTCTATGAGCATCTGAAAGCTGCACATGCTCGAGAACTCTTGGGTTATAATGCCAATCAAGGATCTAGTAAAACTCAGGATATGAAAGAAGAAATTGATGTGGAATATGATAACGACCAAGATTCAGTTGATCCAAGCGTCGATTACCAAGCTCGCTACCCATGTGATACTTGTGGTAAACAATTTGTTGGGTTACTCGCCTTACAGAATCATCAATGTATAAATCAGATTCAATCACAACCACAAACTTTTGATTGTGAAATTTGTCACAAGAGTTATACGTCGATAGCAGCCCTTAAAAGTCACCGTGGTTGGCATTTACGGTCTCCAGATGGAAAAGCAGCTGCAAACAATAGCGGATTGTGGATGCCCCAACACAAAGTGACAAGTAAGATTAGCAAACATGAAGTCGTGGATCCTGTTCAATTGGCTCGTGTTCAACATTCAACCACCCCAACCTCAACTGTTGTCAAAAGGAAGTTACCTCCAGAAGTGGAAGTAACTGTTGTCAACCCAAATAAGAAACTGCGCTCCGATGATTCTCTAGAAATGGAACAACAAAATAATTTATCGGGTAGTGTAGAAGACAGATATTGCACAATTTGTGATAAAGAATTCACGAAACGAGCTGCATATCAACGTCACATGGACGAAGTTCATCAGCCCAATTCGGTGTTTTGCCCTGTCTGTGACAAAAGTTTCACTAGAAAATCGACATTGCTCGTCCACATGAAGAAACATTATGAAGGTGGTCAGGGTAGTTCATCTGGAACAGCTCAAGGAGAGGATGAAGTCCACACATGTGATTTGTGTGGCGCTCAGTACGAAAATGAGAAAGCACTGCGATCTCATCGTTCGAGACACCATGGTGAAGAATCTGAGGAATCGGAAGATGACGGAGGTGCACCTATTGCACAACCTGGCGAGTTTACGTGTGCCCAGTGTGGCGACGGAGTTGCTACTCCTCGCGATTTAATTGCACACCGCACCATGCACGCGACTCCCACAAAATTCTTTTGTAACATATGCAAAGTATACTTTGCCAGAGCTTTGGACTTATCATCTCATACTCGCGCAAGACACTCGGACAACGAAAAGGTTTTTTTTCCCTGTGCCATGTGTGATCGCTTTTATATGAACAAGAAGAGTTTACAACGGCACATAGAAACGGCTCATTGATGGAATTAAAAGGGGGAAACACAAAGGGGACACAGTGATATTTAGAAATAGTGACATTTGTTTGAATTAAAATATTAATTTTCTACTGTGTGGGCTGTATTGTCGTTGACACAGTAGTTCTAATATTTTCTATACATGTAAATACTATCTAAAACCAAAAGACTTGGGTGTCCCAGTTTTATTGTGAGGTTGATGATAGTGTAATTGAGGCGTCATTCCCTGTTTTTTTTTTTTTTTGTTATTTTTATTATAAACATTAATTCTCCATTTCTTTTTTATGGCATTGAGTTCTTGCTCATTTTATTGTTTTATTTATTGTACTGGTCTTTCATTTGTGATTACGAGACTTGTGTTGGTGTACAAACTGTAACAGCTTATGTTACAATTATCTTTAATTGAAAGTGTACGTAGTACTTATCATGATTTAATGAATATAAATTATGGTATGTAAATTAAGTATTTTATGTATTAGTGTATTTTATATTGATATATCATGGGCCAAAATTTTTAAATTATAGTCAAATATCAGTCATAACATACCGAGTTGGAAGGATTTAGTGATTGGTTCACATTTTTTTTATTTTGAATGCGAATGCATTCTTTTTGTTTTGTCAAGGTCTCCATGGTCTTGGCCTATTTTTATTTCTACTAATTAATAATTAGGTGTATTTAGTTTTATCATGTAAATATTATCTATAATTAATGCAGTTTCAGAGGATTCGATTAAAAAAAAATTAGTTTTTATTCAAATACAATGTACTGATTATTTTTAGTAATTTCAAGTGTATATTTTATATAAATTAACCACTAAGGGCATATCTCCTCATCTATGGTGAAACTGAAATACGAATGTGTTTTGTATAATTAAACGTTATGGCCTAATTGCTGTTAAATTCAAAATAATAAACTATTTATATATATTATATCAAAGGATTGAACAGAGAGTCCAGTTTTCAAAGGTTTTATTTTGGTTCTGATATTGGCTCATCAACCTAAAGTTATTACTTATTTGTACACAGTGTATGTACAGCAACTAATTAAAAAACTAATATACTCGTTTCTAGGGTCCTTATAAAATAAATATTTACAAGGGACCCCTTTTTTTCAACAATATTTGAAATTTATATATAATCCGGGCTTATATTTATAGAATAATTTTAAATTGTATTTCTTACTATTCAAATGAGGTATTATAGTGAAAGCCATATTGATATTTTGTACGAAGGTAAAATTCCAGGTCTTACATTGAATTACTTAATATTTATGTTATCCCTGTAATCAGTGATTATCGAAAAATATTTAAAACAAATTACAAACAGTGTTACTGCGTCGTACATTCATGTATAACTATTGTCAGTGCCAAATTTTTTTTTTGCTTTATTTGTACTTACAAAAATTGTAACTGACCTGTGTCTGTACATAAAAAAATATTTAAGAAAACAAACTTATGAATTAAAATTTTTGTCTTTTACACGTTTTTATGAAAACTAAAAATGTAAAATTGTATGCAGTTTTTGTATATCTAAATGTACAATTTAAAAATTACATGTTATATCATATTAAAGTACACAGCAACAGTGTTTTAATATGATCCACTATCTACTTTGTATGTTGAGAAGGATATTAAATGGATATATTAATTATATATCTTACGTACTATATTTAAGGCGTGCCTACGAACCTGGTTGATTGTAAAATTTTCTTTGCTATGAACGCAATATGAATAATACAAACATGATCAAGACGCAACTGCGTCGACAAGTTTCTGTTAAATTTTTAATTTTATCTGCTAGAGACGCTGCTAAGTTTTCAATACAAGTTTATGGATATAAAAGCAATAGTGACCTATGTAAGGGACTGATTACCAAATCCTATGCATACGAAGTTACGGGCGAAAGCTTGTTACGAGTACTTTATTATGTTATGTGCATAGTTTATAAAGGACATGTAAAAATGTAAATTATTTGTGTACAGAAAAAAAAAAAACAGATTGCTTTTAATTGAAAACGCATTTATATAGTAATTAATAAATACATAGGACTAAATCAATACTTTCCTACGACTATTCAGACGATGTTAACCTTCAATACTGACACAGTTATAATTTAACTGTATTTTAAATTGCAATCTGTAAGCATTATAATTAGATTTTTCTTACTTGGCGTATTTGATAAACAATTTTTTGTTGACTTTATTGAAATATAATAGAAAAAGAAAATTATGTACGATACTACAATATTGCCTATTTCGATAATTGGACACGCCATTGTTTAATAAATATCTCAAGTAAAAAAAAAAAAAAACAGTATATCATGTCTATGTCATTGACTTCTACCGACCAATGTCAATATTAAAATAGTCAAGTTTTGTAATCTGTACGTTTGTAGGAAGGTGCATTTCGACACATCGTTGTTAAAAAAGTAACGGGTTTTCATTGTATGGATTGATGTGTGGATGATCAACGTATATATCCTTGATTATCATTAACGTGATGGTGTACGAAGAGCGCTTTCTTACAAAACGACACTGCCTGTCCATAGATGAGGTTTACTTTTGTCATTTTTGTGGTTTGATTAATAAAGAGACTTAAAATTTATTGAGTTTTTTATTTTACGATAAGCTTATTATTTATACCTATCTAAATATTATTATCATTAATCACAAATGTTACTAATATAATAAAAAATTAACTAGATATCTGTACATGATATATATATGTATATGATGGATATATATATATAAATATTTATATATATAAAAAAAAAACTAATATTAGGGGTCTTAATAAGACTAATAGATATTAATACAATATTTTTTAGAATTTTTATTTTGTCTTCCTGTCTATATGTTTGTTGCGGCACCATGCAAAAACTACGGCAATAAATTGTATGCGGTTTCCACAGTTGTTTTCCTAAAGTTGTCGGACCTAAAGTCTGGTGTATGTTTTATCTCAATCTAGAATTGGACTACTTTTTCGATTTTTTACATTTGAAAACCACGCGTACGAAGTAACGCACAAAAAGCTAGTTATAAATTTATAATTTTTTACTTTCTGTCAGGTGGATTCGAAATTGGGACCTATATCTGTACTACTTGGGCAGTGTGTTCCCAATTACACCACGAACCATCTATCAAACCTTATCTCTGCTGTTGAAACTAATTCAGGGTTTATACATTTAAGAAAAAAAAATCAAGTACCATCATTCTTATTAGAAACTAGGAGTGGGTTATAGATAGCAATATCTATATATTTTAGTTACAATATCTATATGCTGGTACAATAACGAATATGTTAAAAGTCTGTTATTAAAAAAATATTGGATAATATACTTTTAACATATTCGAAAATAAATATCCGACGAATATGAGCGATATCGAAATGGATGATGACCATTTTTCCGATATATAGATATCGGATCGGTATCCCACCGCCCACCCTTGTCTATGACAAACTAGGAGGTATTTCCCATAGTTGGAGTTGGTGCCTATAGCAGGCGTATATTAGCGTGCTAGCTGATTAGTAGAGGATTTTATTTTTAGTTTTCCTGTTTGTTGCACTACAGCAGTGTGCTATAAACAGCAAATGAATTTATCAATAGATACGTTATCATTACCGCGTACATAGAATGAGACATTTAACTAATTTATTGAGAGAAAACCAATATTAGTATTATTAATTTAATATTTTGTTCTCAAAAAATACTTAACCGATTTTAAAAATTCCATTAGGTACTTATAGTAAACTATCATACAGGGGAAGCATTTTAACAAAATCATACAGAGCCAGAGCGGGTAGCTAGTCTGTCAATAAATTAAATTCTTGGCTAAAGATTTTAGAATAAAAAAATGGTGAGTTTTTATATTATTCTTTCACCATTTTAAGGAAATCTGTTTGAATATCGTCGATTGCATCACTTGTAGCCGTAGAAAAAGACACTACATTTTAAAATCGTTTCCATCATTTTAAAAGCATTATTTTGATATTTAGAATGGCAAACAAGTTAACGGCCCATTTGATGGAAAATAGTAACTGGCGCCTATAGACATGAACAGCACCATTTGTTGCCCACGGTACCCCTCATGCATTGCCATTTCTGAGGTCTACAATGTTATACCTCCGTACTTCGTAATTTCACTGCCATTGCTTCACGGCAGAAAGACGAGTAGACAGAGCCAATGCAAACGACTTTTGTACAAAGTTATATTTATATTTGGATGGGATTTTTCCTATATTCAGACGGTTTGGTAGGTATCCGAATGAAACATTCATTTGCATTCGATTCCGTGGAAAATCACCGAGGCGTCGAGTCAGCAGTCACTTGGCCGGGTCGAGCGGTGGCGTAATGTGGCTGTAAAATGCTGATGCTTCACTTTGAGTAGGTATTGGAGCCGAGTATTGAGATTTCTTTGTCGGTAAATTCCATATTAGCTACAACTGTCTAAATTTGTTTACGAACAGATCTAATTTGCATGTGGATGATATATTAAAAAATATTTCAGGTAGTACTTACCTACCTTTACTTTTTCTGGAAATTTATTTACTTTTTTAATTTTAGAGCTATACTCACTTGTTAATAATAAATTCTTGTACATATGTACAATATAATTAATAGTTTTGAGGTTCTATAACTAGCTCTACACAGCTATTGGACTTTGTTACTACCACTACTTATTTATTAAATTTTTGCCTGTAAGGATAAAAATTCTCCTATCTCTCAAGGTGAAGCAATTCATACCTATTTGGTAAATTCCATTGAAATGATTTGAGCGGTTTCAGAGATCAGCATAATCGAATATTGTGACATGGGATTTTTATATTAAGATTATTAAAAGAATCTAAAAGATTGCACAAAACATTTTAATATAAACTTAAAAAGTCGTACAACAATATGAAAAATTATTATTGACTAATTATATTCGCGGACATGGAGAGCCGCTTTTACTATATTATGCAAATATTATATTATCTTTAACACTTCCATCGAATATATCTTACAAAAGAAAGAAAAATAAAAAGTATCTTTATAATAAAAAATCTCATTACTCTAAATTGTATTATTATTAAACTTACATTATAGATTTTATCTACAAAATACTGTAGCATTTTAGTCAGTTTTTCAATCGAGACCTCACTACTTGTATACATTACATAATAATTTAATTATAATAGGGTAACAATAAAGTACACGTTCAAGATTTTAAATCATACAACTAGACTTATACTAAATCAAAATATAAAAGTATTA